AAGACAGTCGGAACAAAATAATAAGCAAGAACATAAAAAAGAAATGCAACCAATTAACAAAATGAAAAGAAAAAATGCAACCTGAAAACAATTCAGAAAGACTTTTAAAAGTGGTTGTAAATGATTATTCAGAAATTGTATTCTTCTGTTAATTACCAGTTGATAAAATAAAGACTACGCATATTAATTTTTAAGAAGGCAGTATCAGCGATGTCTATTGTATTTACCATGAGTTTAGTTGCTGTTTAATGTTGCATTCATTTACATAAGCGTAATAATTGTACTGAGGCAGCTAGGTGGTACAGTAGCTAGAGTGGCAGACCTGAAATCAGGACAACTTGTCATATTCATGAGTCCAAATCTGGCCTCAGACACATACTAGCTGTATGACCCTGGGCAAGTCACTCAACTTTGTCTCAGTTTCCTCATCTGTAAACTGAGCTGGAGAAGGAAATGGCAAACCACACTCCAGCATCTTTGCCAAGAAAACCCCAAATGGGGTCATGAGGAGTCAGATATGACTGAAACAACTGAACAATAAGTAATTGTATAAACTTTGCATTTTCTCACTCTGTGTCACTTCATGTAAATCTTCCCATATTGTGAAGTATCCTCATATCACAATTTGTTTATCCATCTCCCTATTATTGCGATACTCGTTTCCATTTTTTGGAAATAGCTCATAGCTATATACTGCTTTGTATCTTCCAAATATTTTCATTTGGCTTTTCCAACAATCCTCAGAGGGAGGAAGAACAAGTGATATTTTCTCCATTTTACAGATGATGGATGCTCGAGGAGGTAAAGGGACTCACCCAAGGTAACACAGTAATAAGTGAGAGAGCACAGGTTTTAACCAAGTCTTTTGTCCTTAAAACCAGGGGACTTTTATTATACAACACTGCATTTTTCCTGATCTGCGCTTTCTTGATTCCATGAATTGGCTGACAATATTTTCTATACCTATGATATATTTTTTATCCTTCCTATTCATTCTTCCCCATCCATTAAAGACAAACTCAAAAGATTACTTCATCCCCAAACCAGGAATTATTTTTCTTTTCCTTCCCTGTACCCCCAATATCATGCAGCACTTGGGACCCCTGTAATGCACTTTTCATGTATTATTATGCATTGCTGTCACCTGTGTTGAGCCCCTATTAAACCACTAGCTTCACATGACAAGTTCTCATGTCTTAGATAAAGTGTATTGCTGTCTTCACACAGCCCCATGTTCTTCAGGCTTATAATCCATGGCTCTTTCAATTTCTTATTAAAAGAACTCACAGCCTCCATGAGAGAAGTAGGTGGTATAGTGCAACTCGTTTTATAGATGAGAGAAAATGAGGCACAGGCTTAAATGACTTTCTTAATAAATGTCACAGGCTAAAGTAAGCTTTGTGAATCACAATCAACAGTCCAGAGTCCTACCCTTTAAGAATACTTTTTTCAGTGTCCTCTAATTACATAGATGATCTTTCCAGCACATTTTTTTTTCTTATTGTATATTTAACAGGGTCATGCTGTATGCTCAGATTTGCCCTTTCTTGGGGGATATATGATTAAATGCAAATATTCTCAGCCTGCTTTTAATTCACAGCATTGAAACCCCACCTTTAGGAGGGTCAAATCAATGCATGCTCACTGATCACGTATAAAGCCAAAAAATAGTTTCTCTTGAGTGCAGGTATGTGTGTATGTGTGTTAAGGCAGTTCACTGTCTGAAGTGAAAAGGAGTCTCTCCTGTGAATCAATAAATCAGGGGGTGGACTAAGTATGAATTGGGCCTAAACACTACTATTCATTCAATCAAAGGTTTTAGACTTACTGTGATAAATCCTTGATTAATTTAGGAGTCTTTGCAATGATTGGATTAAGTTAAATGATATTGCAAAGGAAAAGTGTTCAGATTGGTATGGATCGATCATGTTTTGTGGAATAAAGTAGCAGGCCAGGTGCGCCATCTCCAGTTGTCCTGATCTATATCTGGCCACTGGACCCAGATGGCTCTGGAGGACAAAATGGGGCTGGTGACTTTGTACAGACCTCCCTCAGTGAAATCCAATTCACTTACATGTCATGGCATCATCTTCCTGATGGCCATCTTCGAGAAAAAAGGACAAACCACAACCTGTGAGTAGTCCAAGCTGCTCTACTGAGGACCCAACTGGCCAGTTCCAGTTGGGTAGCTCAGCTCTTCCTTTCCTCTCCTCCTTCTTTTATCCTCCTTCTCCTCTCCTCTCCTCTCCTCTCTCACATAGAGTATCATTCCCTTACCGAGAATGCTCTGTCCAAAGGAAGGTACTGGCTAGATTTCTTTCTTAAAGACCATGCCTTAAATCTAATTCACTCTGGTTCTTATCCATTGGCCAACAGTAGGTCCCTACCCAAGCACCACTTAATGGTTATTGTTTGGGCTCCCTTGGCTCAGAGTGAATGTAAATGATAATAGTTTCTCTTTGGGCCAGAAACCCTGAGGGTTTTCCCCTCCCAGTCTGATTTTTTAAAAAATTATTATTAAAGGGGCCATCCCTTGGCTCACTTCTTAAATAGCCTTAATCATTGAATGGGCATTGCCTCAGTCAAAGTGAGAATTTGGAAATACCTTAGCTTAAAAAGGCCAAGGTCTCCCACTGCATCCTGGGCCATCTCCAGTGGTCCTGATAATATATGTGGCCACTGGACCCAAATGGCTCTGGAGGAGAAAGTGAGGCTGTTGATTTTGCACAGTCCTCCCTCACTTAAATTCAACTCACTTGCAAGTCATGGCATCATCTTCCTGATGCCATGGTCCTCTTCAAGAAGGAAGGAAAAACCACAGCAGGACATGTTGGAAGCCAGGGATTTGAATATCTGGAAGCTCAGTGTGGAAGGAATCTTTTTTTTTGTTGTTAGGCAATGGGGTTAAGTGACTTGCCCAGAGTCACACAGCTAGTAAGTGTTATGTGTCTGAGGCACATTTAAACTCAAGTCTTCCTGAACCCAGGGCCGGTGCTCTATCCACTGCGCCACCTAGCTGCCCCAGAAGGAATCATTTTGGAGAGAAGAAAACCCTAGCCCTTTCCCTGGTCTCAAGGTTCTGCCCATCACATCAGCCAGAGGAGGTCTTTGTGAGCCTTCAAGAGATTAGGGGGATATTAGTCTTTCCTGGCCAGGACAGGAGATGACACTATCAGAATCAGGAGCTGAAATGATGTAGAAAGAATCCCAACAGAAAAAGATACACTGTAGGGAACATCTTAAGGAATTTAGCAAAAGGAGATCCAGAATCTGTTATTTAACCTTCAGCCAAATGTACTCTTCAAGCTTAAGTCCATTTTCCCTGGGATTCTGTATGTATTGGTAGGAGTGTCACAGATTTCCAGCGGGAATGTTTTGCATCAACTCTTCTCCCCATACCTCCTCAGTACATACTCTGTACTGCAGACTAATTAAGTTTGGCTGACTAACCTATATTAATTGATAATCAGAAAGAACACATCTCTAAGGGCTTGTGAGTCCTAACAACAGAAAGACATCCTTCAACTCCTCAGGGTTAACCAACAAAATCCTAAGGGGACAAGAAGCAGCCTTGCTCGGGGGACCCATTCTGCCAGTGCAAATGGAGATCTGGGAGAGTAGCTGCAGTGTGTGCTCTACCTATGAAATATGGTTTCATATAGTTAGGGTTTAAAAAACAACAACGATACATTTGGGTTATGGAAGTTTGTTATTTCACAAGATGGTCAACGAGAAGAACTGAAATGGAAAGCCTTGGTTCTGCTGCTTATACCTATTTGGATTATTTGGATTTCAAATTGCACATCAGTAAAATAAAGTTTTGGATGAGATGACCTAAGGTTTCCTGTAGCTCTTACTTTCTATGTTCTCAGGTTATTCCAGCTCTAATATTCCACAGTTCTATTAGTCTGCTGAATAAAATAAATACAAAGAAAGTAGTTCTCTTTAAGAAAAAAATGTGATCTCATTGTTCATGCTCCCAAGGTCTGCAGAAAGTTTGGTAATTCTTTTTTTTAGGCAATTGGGGTTAAGTGACTTGCCCAGGGTCACACAGCTAGTAAGTGTCAAGTGTTTGGTCTGAGGCCACATTTGATCTCAGGTCCTTCTGACTTCAGGGCCAGCACCCTATCCACTGTGCCACTTAGCTGCCCTGAAAGTTTGGTAATTCTAAAGAGTTAGTAGGTGAATAGAACTAAGGCCACCAGAAGTGCTGAGAACACCAGTACTGTTCTTTTCCTCTCTTGGGCACAGTTGCTTGTCTCTTTCAGATTAAAAAAAATCATAGAAATCCATACCCTCTAGGCTTTCAACTCCCAGCCTTGATTATATAACAGGAGACTTTATAAAACTCCATTGGGAAGACAAATGAGTAACTCAATGGTGAGACTTTTGGAATTTTAGGTATGGGAGGGATAATCACAAAAACAGAATGTTAAAAATATACTCTCATTTTTTTTAAACCACAAAAAACCTCCTAAGTATACAGACAGAAAAAAAAAATATAGGGTAATTTTAATGTCAAATCAGATCTGATGTATATAGGAAAGCATTTTGCAAACAGTAAAGTACTAGATAAATATAAATGGTTAGTGTTATCATTGTACTGATCTATCATATTTCTGGTATTTCTCCCCTTATTTCTAAGCTAATGAAGAAATTTTAGAAAGAAATTGTGCCAAATCATGAAAACTAAGCAGCTTCTTAAGTTTGCCTTTTTGAAAGTGTTTTATGATGGTCTTTTAAAAAGAACCTCAAGGGGCAGCTAGGTGGCACAGCGGATAGAGCAACGGCCCTGAAGTGAGGAGGACCTGGGTTCAAATCCGGCCTCAAACCAAACACTTGACACTTACTAGCTGTGTGACCCTGGGCAAGTCACTTAACCCCAATTGCCTAAAAATGAAAATAAAATTAAAAAACCTCAGAATCATTTCCCACTGAGTCTTATACCCCACTCCCCCATTCCCACTAAACAATCCTGCCTTGTATAAGCATAGACTTACCTTTTCCAAGTGAAGATTGATCCACCGTGTGAAGGTTCTCTTCTGAACATTTTCCCTTTCAACTGGAAAGAAAGCATAACCATGAGATGAGAAAAGAATCATACTTCAAATTTTACCTCATACCTATAAATATGAGATGCCAAATGTGGATATTAAATCCAAAACTACAAACAGTTCATCTCTAACACATGAAGGGGTTGTGTACCAAATTTGGTCAGTAGCGTCAGATGTGTGGAACTCAGGAGGGGTTTTTCCTATAAAAATTTCACATCTGTAAGTCACTCCTAACATGTCGATAAAGGTCTATTTAACTATGTCTATAAGAATTGAAAATTCTGGAACTGGAAAACACCTTTGAGATTATCTATTCTAATATTCATATTTGGAAAAGATAAGACATAAAATTTTAAGAATAACATTTTATTGACATCTTTTGTTTTTATATTACCTACATTTCCCAACATATCCCTTCTGTAATCTCCTCCCAGAGAATCATCCCTAACAATAAAAGAAAAAAAAAAGTTCTACAAAACTGACCAATATATCCCAAAAAGGCTGACATATGTAATGTTTTACATTCATGATTCCTCATCTCTGAAAAGAAACAGTAGGTTGTGGTTTTTCATATCTCTTCTTTGAGGTAAAGCTTATGAACAGGAATATGGCTTGGTCACTAGAGTTTTGCATTCACTTTTGACTGTTTTGTTATTATTGTTCTTTCAGTTTTAATTTTTGTAGTTATCGTGTATATTGGTTTTTTTTGGTTCTTCTTACACACATCAGTTCACAAGTCTTTTTGTGTTTCTTTGTGTTAATGCTATTCATTATTTCTTATTGCACAATAATATTTCCATTCATGTATCACAATACGTTTAGGTAAATCAATTTGCATCTCCTTTGTTTCCAGTTTTTTTGCTACTACAAAAAGTGCAGCTATAAATACTTTAATGTATATGGGGCAGCCTTTCTTCTAGTCAATAACTACCTTGGGGTATATGACTAGAAGTAGAGTCTCTGAATCAAAGAATATAGACATTTTAGTCACTCTTTGCATGACTCAAAAATGTTTTCCAGGACGGTTGTACAAATTCAGAGCTTAACCAACAATGCATTGGTTTGCCCATCTTTCCACAACCCTTCCAATATTCACTATTCTCATAATTTGTCAATGCTGCAAATTTGCTAAGTGTGGCAAACTCGAGGTTGTTTTATATCAAAACATCCCTTATCATTCTTTTATTATTAGTGATTTGGAGCATCCTTTCATATGGTTGTTAATAGTTTGCAATTCTTTTTTTCAGAAGTTTGTTTATATCCTTTGACAACTTATCTATTGGGGAATGGCTTTTGATTCTGTGTGTGTACACAATCTATCTACTAATTGTTTAGATATCTTGGAAAGCAAATTTTTCCCCCTTCTCCCATATATGTATCTTCTAATGTTTAGATGTCTTGGATTTTTATCAGAGAAATACGATACAATTTTTTTTCATTTGACCAATTCCCTTCTTATCTTGGTGCATTAATTTTTTTCACGCAAAAGCTTTTCAATTACATATAGACAAAATTATCTATCTTATCTTTTGTAGTCTCCTCTTTCCCTTGATTAAGAATTTATCCCTTAAATAGACTTATGAAAAGCATAAGGTCTCCTATTTTTTCAATGGTATAGTCTTTAATCTTCAGGTAATGGCCCAAAGTTATACAGCTCATTAGTGCTGAAGGTAGGGCTAATCACAAAATCTTAATATTCAAATGTTCCTTAGAGGTCATCCCATACAACTTCTAATATACTAATAATATTAAAGCTGGTAATCATTATAATATTTCTTTGGAAATATTAAGTCAAAGTTCCAACTTGAGATGTCAGGAATATATTTTCTCTTATCATAGCCAGGGATTTTTAAAAGTAGTGCCCTACCCATGTTCTTTGAAATAAGTAAAACATCTTGATAATGACAGATTCAAATTATTGGTTGTACCTCCTACACTTTGGGATAAAGATTCCAGTAGTTTGGGGGATGAGGTAAAGGACAAGAATTTTTTTAATTTTCTTTCTTTTACTTTATGATCCCAAGAAGGCAAAAGATAAGAATTTTTAATGATGGGGCAAAGACCTTTATAAAGGAAGGATGAAAGGAAAGAAACATGTATTTATCAAGCACTGACTGTGTGCCAGTCACTGTCAAAACACTTTACAAATACATCATTTCATCCTCATAACAACTCCAGTAGGTAGATGCTGTTATTACTCCCATTTTACAGTTGAGGAAACTGAGGCAGAGGTTAAATGACTTGCCTAGAGTAACACAGCTATAGTAAGCGTCTGAAGGCAGATTTGAACTCAGGTTTTCCTGACTCCTAGCACTTCATCCACTTTACCACCGAGCTAATTTAATGGGGAGGAAGTAGCATTTCTCTTACATTCCCCCTGTTCTTCCACCTCACTGTCCAACTTCAATTCATCTTTCTAGAGATCTTCCTGATAGCTTCTGTCCTCATTCATCTCCCTCTCCTCTCAACTCATAATACAGGATTACATCAATAAAGCCATAGTGGAATTTGTAGCAGTGATGGGGCAAAGAGAGGAAGGAAGAGAGGGAACTCACCAAAAATAGACAAGGAAGAAGAACTCCTGATTAATTTCCCTAATATAAGGGATTTAGGCAGAATCTCTACGTTGGAAAAATCTTCTGAGGCCATGAGGTCTAAATCAGCCTGTGTAATTGTTACCCACTGTTCCACATTCAACTCAAGCAAAATCCCTCTTCCCTTTTTGCTGCCCCTCTGTTTCGACTAGGCTCCTTGCTCCAAACTGAACTTTCAGAGACTATATTATATGCCTGGGAGTAACTAAGCCACTCGGCCCGGGCTCCCTGTGACCATGTTTCACCGTCTTCACTCTGGCCACTTTTGTCCCAGCCTTATTCCTTTCCTTTCTCCTTGATCTCTCACCTGCTCCCCAGAAGGATGACAGCTCTGAGTTCCTTGTGGGCAGAGGCTGCCTCACTTTCTTATTTGTATCAACAGCCCCTAGAAGAGTAGATGGCACATAGAATTCTTCATTCAGTCCCTATGATGACCTTTCAAATTCTTGAAGAGAGGTATATCTCCACCAACTTTTCTCTCCTCTAGGCTTTACAATCCCCAGTTCTTTTAATCAATCCTCAGAGAGCAAGGGTTAGTGGTTTGTGACCATTCTCATTGCCTTTCTCTCAACATTCACCAAGCTTATCAATCAATGTGCTTCTTAAAATGTGGTGCCCAGAACTGAACAAAGCATTTCAGATTTTTTTTTATCAGGTCTTTCCCTTTTTTAGGTCTTGGACACCATGCTTCTTTTAAAGCAGAATAAGATCTCATTAGCTTTCCTGGCTGCCATATCCTGCTGAGGACTCATAATTGAGCACACAATCTATTAAAACATCTAGACCTTTTCCAAATAACTGCCTAGCCAGACCTCTCCCCATACTGCATTTTTAATTGTGTTCATATAGTCCCTGGGTTTGTCTTGGCAGGTAGATTCCCAAGCATTTTATACCATCTGCAGTTATTTTAAATGGAATTTCTCTTTCTATTTCTTCCTGCTGAGTTTTGTTGGTAGTACATAGAAATGCTGATGGTTTATATGGGTTTATTTCATATCCTGCAACTCTGCTAAAGTCGTTAATTGTTTCAACTAGCTTTTTAATGCTTTCTCTAGGGTTCTCTATGCCATCATGTCATCTGCAAAGAGGGACAGTTTTGTTCTCTCATTATCTATTTTCATTCTCCAGTTGCTTTTTCCTATCTTATTGCTGTAGCTAGCATTTCCAATAGTGGTGATAATGGACATTCTTGCTTCACCCTGATCTTACTGGGAAGGCTTCAAGTTTATTCCCATTATAGATAATGCTTGCTCTTGGTTTTAGATAGATACTACTTATTCCAGAAAGGTTCCGTTGATTTCTATGCTTTCTAGTGTTTTTTTTAAGTAGCTGTTGTGTTATATTCCCATATTGCATTTGTAAAGTTGATTGTTTGAATTCACGCATGAAACTTGACATTTGTTTCCATTAAATTTAATCTTAAATGACTTGGTTCAATTCTGCAGCCTGTCAGAATCTTTATGAACCTTGACTCATCCAGCAGTATAATTCAGCTGCCAAGAGAACTGGTTTAAAATGTAATTGGGAAATACTTAACAAAATAAATTAAAATCCTATAGAACATATAGATAATGTTAATACGTAGTTTTCTAAGTGGATCTGTTTCTATTTGAGTTTGACTCACTGTTTAAAACATCTACATGCAAAATCTCAAAGGAAAACACAGTCTGGGCACAAATTCAACTAGAATTCCTAAAAGAGATGAAGCAAGAGTTTGAAAAAGGTCTTAATTTCAAAAAAAATTTAAATAAGTGAAATGTACCCATTAGAGAAAAAAATTGGAAAACAAGTGAAAGCTATAAAAGAATTATAAAATGAATTTATAGCTTAGCAGAAGAAATATAAAACCTTACGGAAGAAAAAATAACTCTCTGAAAATTAGAATGAACTAAAGAGAACCTAATGACCCCATGAGGCAAGTGATATTTTTTAAAAGTCAAAAACAGAAAAAAATAGAAAAGAAATGTAAGGTATCTCATTGCAAAAATAACTGACCTGGAAAACAGATTGAGGAGAGATAATTTAAGAATCACCCACGTAAATCACCATCTAAAACCATGCATCATATTTTGACAAATCATAAAAGAAAATTGCCCAGATCTCTTAAAATCAAATGGCAAAGTGGAAATAGAAAGAATCCATTGATCACTTTCTGAAGGAAAAAAAATGAAAACTCTCAGGAATATCATAGTCAAAATTCTGAGTTTCTAAACAAAAGTAAAAATACTGTAAGCAACCAGAAATAAAGAATTCAAGTGCCAAGGCGCAACAATCAGTATTACATATGATTTAGCAACTACTATGATATAGGAGGAGAGAGCTTGGAATACGACATTTCAGAAGGCAAAAGATACAGGCTTACAACAAGAATAACTTACCCAGAAACTTACAATTCTACGGGGGGGGGGGAAGGA